CCCTTCACTCACTTCGGCGTACAATAACCAACCAACCACTGATCGTTTTGAATATGTGTGTTTAGGTTATCATATAGAGTTCTATAGTTCAGTGGTCTGCACTAAATTTCAGACAGCTCTATGAAATCTAGGTTTCGTGCTTATTCACAGTTGTTGGTTGGCGTTATTCTGCAGTCCTGGAGGAAACAATGTTCTCATTGGTGTTCAAGAGACGGTATCGTCGAATCTAAAGAATAGTGGCCGTGGAGTGCGAACGCATCAGTGACTTTGAAGGCATACCATCCGTCGTTATTGCATAACCTGTCGTTATTAACAGCACCCCAGTATGAACGTGGTGCGAAACATTGAGGTGCAGATTTTATCCCGATCTCATTTTTAAGTATCGTTTGGATAATGGGTGGTTAGAATTATTCTGTGGTATACCTATTCATATTAATTTTCAACGGGGAGTTTAATCATGTCCTTCAGTTCTGAGCAAGTCTGATTACTATCGCAACAGCACCAGAAGCACTCTCATCCAAATGCTCACTAATTAATAAGTTGTCTTTTCAATCATCTTGCCATCCCATCCCTTCCTATGCCATCTCCATACCTATACTATTCACTATTCTGTGGAAGAAGTATACAACAGTTTATCACTTGAGGCATTATTTGAACAGTTTGCCTTCAATAAAACCATGCAAATTAAAGTTAAAAATCAAACAGAGAATAAAGAATCTGGACTACCATAATGCATCGAGTTCTATCTGTGCAAAATCGGGAAGTATGATCAGTCGAAGTGTAAAGAGTTCCACTCCAGTTTCTTTTATCTCAGAGGAATGGAAAGAATCCTCTCTCTATAAATATCTATACAGGCGCTCTTATTCGATTTGACAGGAAGTTTCACGACGTTGTTTCTTTCCATCAGTTACAGTCCGAAGAATGAAAAAAGTCTACTCTTTGTGTAGGCACCAGAATCCGCCACATAAAAGCTTCTTCTAAAGAAGATGAAGCGTTGAATGCAGATGGTATTAAAGTTGCAGCTGTAGCCGAATTTCTACTCGACAAATTAATAGTCGAAGAGTTCAAAGACCTACAAAGTACCCTTTCAGTCAGTGGTCTTTTCTCTGAAAGAAAGACATTCCAGTTTTTCATTTATCACTCATGCTGCATATATTTATTGACTCTACCAATTATCTACATCAGTCGACATTGTTGTCCACTATTCTTCACACTACGGGTGTCATCAACTTTTCTGATTTTTCACTTGTTTCTTTGAAGGGATTTGACTGATCTCGAGATTGATCACGATTTGACAGCAGTTAGAGCATCTTTGAAAACTAGGGGGTGTTGTACAGCTGTTTTGTTGTTGTTATTGTTGTTTGTGTACCTTAAGCTTACACACCTATGTCGCCGCCGGGAATTGAACCCGGAACGTTCTGGTTACAACCCGAGCTCCTACACCACTCAACCATTGGGACAAAACCCAGTTGTCCATAAATCTAACTCCAACCATTCGCGATATATATGACGCAGTCGCCAGTCAATATCTTCAGCGAGCAGTTAGGCTCACAGAACTCGGTGGGACGCTCTGGTCATGACCTCTTCAATTAAAAACGTCGGCCAACTTCATGCTGTAATGAGTCACCAGTGAGCACTAAATTGAATTTCATCTGTAGGTCTTAGGGATTCGATTGATTTAAACGTTGAACTGGCCTTGTGTAGGCTTGAAGGTTGTGGGTCCTATTCTCGGTGAGAACATGGATTAGTACTGTTGTATTTTCCCAAACAAGGAAGAAATGACTGTCCAATGCTCCTTGGAGAACTAATTATAACTGGAGTTTAGACTTTAGCTCCTTAGTGGAACTTTGGGCTTTCCAGGCTTGAGCTTTGGAGTTTCATTAGCAGCAGTGCTGTTTGTTTTTCACGATGTAGGGTTGCTAGCCTCACTCACACCCAACTTTCCCGCTATTTACCGGGCTTACTGCCGGTTAAACCAGTTCTAGAAGTACGTCAGCTGGGGATCATCGATCGAGTCCCGGACCGCATGGGTGATCGACGAGTATTCTACCACTAAGTGACTTGTTGGAATACCTGGGCGTTTATCCAAGTAGCTCTGGCATGCTAAGAGGCGAGCTTTCTGCCACTTGACCAAGTGCGCCCCTCTACTACTTTAATTGTATGTGAGATACCCTTCCATTTTATTTTGCTTAATGTGTTAACCAACCTTACCGTGTGTTGTTTTTCCTGTTTCTTATTTTCTCCTAGTATGGCTACTTGGTGGAATGAAAATGCTAAAGGTTAGTTTTATACAAAAACACTATTTTTTGATAATTCATTTTGGAATGAATGAAGGATGGCACAGTTTACAAATTTTATCACAGTTTGCTGTAGAAATAATCGTGCAATTAGAATTGGTTTCTTTGATTATTCCAAAGGGAACCCATCGAAGTGAATGGTCACTTCTACTATGTGTCTATGTAATTAATTGGTCAACCGCAAATTCGATTCTATGTAACGTCATCGTCGCCTTAAAATGCTAGCCAGAATTTGTTTGGTTTTTGAACTGACTCGGCTTTGTTAACTGAATCTAACCGCTTACACATTGGTCAATGAAGAGCTCGAACCGTAAACTGACGAAACGGACGTCCTATGTGTGTGCATCACTTCGATCACTGGGAAGCTGTTACGTCCTACTTCCATAGTAATTGGTCAGTCTACACCCAGGAAATACAAATTGACGTAAATAAACAGTTATGACATCCTGTTTAAATTTCCTTACAGGAGATTGATTGAGTTTCCTAGGATGCTATGTGTATACGAGCTGTTCATAATAACCTTTGTTTGGCAGTATGTGTTATTCCATATATCAACCCATATGACTGGTGATCAGGCGAACGTTGTGTGCTTTAGGAAGTGTGTGGGTGGTTGTCACTTCTCGATTACCCACACCATGAAATTTGATTTTTCCTTGGAAATACCTCTAAAAGTAAGCGCATTAGTGTTGTGTAACCTCAGCCATGGGGACAGCAGTTTCAGACCGGTCATACATGACCTTCTTTGAATTTGTGTTTTAGGATTGTGTTCGTGTTAAGAACCTACCACTGTGTAAGGTAAGTCGGGATTTACAGTCTTCGAGGACGATCTTTTCTAGCCTCCTACTTACCACCCAGAGTGAAAAGGCAACATTGTTGACTTGCTGGTCATCTGAGGTAAACTCCTTTCTCTCCTGTTGACATCTCTACTCGTTAGCAGCACGACTTCGCCAAAACAGTGTAATCCGTCGTTGGGTCATTGCGATATATGTGCAAACCTGACCATCACTTCAAGGTTGCAGCTATCGGTCAGGATACTTAGATATACTTGTTAAGGAATAAGACATATTTGTCTCTTTTAATAGTAGTGTCAATATATTAGATAGTTGAAGGCAATCGGCAGGAAGCCTTGGACCTAGGTTTCGTGCTAGTTGGCACTCATCAGCAAGGCGTATCTGCAACCTTGGAGGAACTCATGTCCCTCCTGAGATTCGAACCCGTGTCACTCAGTACTGCAGTGAGTCAGAGACGTTACCACTAAGCTATTCGGGCTGTAGTGGGTATTTCGATTGGACACTAGTAACTAGTGTGACGTATCTAGTCCTTCTTTGGTGCAGACTGAATTCTACCAGTCAGGTTGTAATGTGGCCGCCATTCTAGGTAGCTCGCCATCACGGTGCACATTGATTTGATATTAGATAGTTGGAGGCAATCGGCAGGAAGCCTTGAACCTAGGTTCGTGCTAGTTGACATTCACCAGTCAGCAAGGCGTATCTGCAACCTTGAAAGACGTAGTGTCAATATCATTCACACTTCCATTAGTTCTGTATGCGAATACACCGCTTAATTAATCGGTTTTTCAATGGTCAGATCATCTGAGAGTCTATGATTGGTAGGAGATATAGTATATGTTAGAAATGATGACGAGTGTGAAGGTTGAAAATACCCATGCAGTCATATCGAAGAAAAAGCGTTCACAGAAGAGTTACTCTTTTCCGCGAAGGTGAAATAAAAATCAGGGTGTCCCACTGCCAGATCCTCATACCCTCCAAAGCCTCAGGATGGTCGGGGGTGGGTGCCTTGCGCTGCGGGTTGGCCACCCCTCCGCACACCTCTTGAAATGCTCCCATATGACCGGGCGTCTTACATAGCCTCTCCTGAGGAAGTCCTACTCACTGCCTTCACGTGGCGGAGGTGTTTTTCACCAAAGTGAGAGGGCGAAAGCGGATGCCCGGCGCTCTTCACCGGGTTGACTGTCCATTGGATGACAGTCTAGGGGAGATGGCTAAACCCTGATTCCAAACCTCCAACGACTGGCGTATGAAGCTCACTGGAGCTCACCGGCAGACGTATGGACAAAGGGCTTGTTGGATGTCTGGCCCCATTCAAAAGGCGTATGAACCGAACTCCGGTCACCGACTGCCAATGGATAGTGGACTCCCTACTCCACTCCTACTACCTTGTAGGTCACACTTGGTTGTGTAAAGGCTAGAGCTGCACTCTCAAACAAAAGGCCGAGCGATTGTGGGGACATCAACTTCTATTTCAGTTCACGATATAGCGCGACTGGCCACTAGGCAATATGTAATGTCATCGGTGAGTGTTTATCAAACTTTGGTGGATGCGTACCGTTGAGAAGTCTCAAAGTAAGTAGGAAGCGGCATTCCAATATTTCCAGGTTTAGTACTGGTTCTCTATCGGTGTCATCTGTTGAGGAAATCTTGCAAGCAGTCGAATTGCTGCAAACCAACAGTTGAAAAAAATAGATTCAAATGAACTATAATAAGTAGAAATGTATGGGTGAGTGAGTGAGTGAGTGAGTGAGTGAGTGAGTGAGTGAGTGAGTGAGTGAGTGAGTGAGTGAGTGAGTGAGTGAGTGAGTGAGTGAGTGAGTGAGTGAGTGAGTGAGTGAGTGAGTGAGTGAGTGAGTGAGTGAGTGAGTGAGTGAGTGAGTGAGTGAGTGAGTGAGTGAGTGAGTGAGTGAGTGAGTGAGTGAGTGAGTGAGTGAGTGAGTGAGTGAGTGAGTGAGTGAGTGAGTGAGTGAGTGAGTGAGTGAGTGAGTGAGTGAGTGAGTGAGTGAGTGAGTGAGTGAGTGAGTGAGTGAGTGAGTGAGTGAGTGAGTGAGTGAGTGAGTGAGTGAGTGAGTGAGTGAGTGAGTGAGTGAGTGAGTGAGTGAGTGAGTGAGTGAGTGAGTGAGTGAGTGAGTGAGTGAGTGAGTGAGTGAGTGCATCACCGATATCGGGAACGATTTTGAAAGATATCACACCAACAGTCTCTGTTGCCGTCATTGGTTCTTAGTTTGCCATTGACCACAACTAGACATTTTACATCCACCTACCTACCTCCGCACCTACCTATATATGTGGCTGACCGAAACCAGTACTCATGGACTTGATGATGAATTGATGTCATGTTTTTGGTTTCACAACCCGTAATTCTTTTCCAAACTATTCGTTTCTTCTATGTCAGCTTGACAAGGAAGACTGTGAATCGGCTTGATGTGTAGAGCTGGCTTACAACTTCATTGTGTGTGACTGGATTTACCCTACTTACTACCTAACACTCTGTACGCCTGCCAACCACCTCAGTATTACTCATCATATTATACCAGCTAAGTAAGACAAAACTGAAGATATAACGCAAAATCCTTTGGTCAAAAATAGCTACCTTCCGTGTTACCCCATTGGTCATAACTTCTCACTAGAACCCAGGTAACTGCTTACCTGAATCTGACCAGTCACTAGTATGCCTTAGGCGAACAAACCCACCCTGTATAGGAAAAAAATAATCACCACTACTAACGAAACTTCAAAGCTGAACCTTCAAGTCCTCCCACCCCACCTCACCCCTGCAATACTCCATTCGTAACGTAAAGGAATCAATTTGTAAACTACCTAATATCGTTGTTTGTTTTTTTTTGCATGCGAAAATTACGATTATTTGTTCTGGGTTATTTGATTTAAATTGTAATACACTACTTTTTTAAGTATATTTTCCTAATCCTCCTTTTTGTTCTGCTTCTTTTCTGTTGTTGCTGTTGTTGATGTTGTCAAACACAAACAGTTTCTGATTGTGATGATCCGAAGGAGATGATTACTACTACTACTACTACTACTACTACTACTACTACTACTACTACTACTACTACTACTACTACTACTACTACTACTACTACTACTACGGCGACGACAACGAATACTGCTGCTACTGTTGCTGCTCGTCCTCCTCTTCCTTCATGTAGCAGCCCTATTGAATATGTAAATAAACTATTTAATAATAAATATGTAAAGAGAAAAGCATCAACAACAACAACAACTTCGGAAACTAGTGGTATTACACCTAATAAACGTGTGTGTCCATCACTAAACAAAGGTGATTGCAACAACAACAGCGTACAAGGTAGTTGTCATCGCATTATTGAAGGTGTTGGTGTTAGTGCTAGTGTTGGAGGTGATGATAATGACCAACTGAGTTCAACTAATAATTCTGCTATTACTACTCCTTGTGTTGACGAGGGGGCGCAAGAACAGGTCAGCAGCGGCGGAGGAGGGACATCACGTAGTTCTGATGATACAAATGTTACTGAAATGTAAGTTTCAGTGTTAACAGTATTTTCAAGTGTTGTTTTTGCAAAGATTTGATTGTTTACAGGATTTCGTCATGAGTTGACATCAGTTAGAGAAGCATCGGGAAACCAGCTGGGGGAGAATTACACAGCCAGACATCTATTTCATCGGTCTGGTTTAGTAGGACACTTCAGCAGTAGGCACTCACCCCCACTAAAGTTCGAACCCAGTACCTTTCAGTGACAAGGCTAGCGAGCTAGCTCGTAGACCATTAAGCCACTGGGATCAGCCCGATCCAATGGCCAGCCAGCCCATGAATTCTAACTTCTACCAATTCACGGCATAGCGCGATCACTAGCCCCAATGTCTTCGGCGAGTATTTGTCTGCAAGTAGTATCAAGAAATCTCTGATCATTCGAGATTAATCGAAATCTGAATATGATGAATCTGTCCCTTGTTTTGTTGTTGTTGTTAGTGCTTAACGAGTTGATGTCATGAAGGTGGTCTAACGGAATGTCGTCGCCGGTGAGGTTTCACCATGTCATAGGCGTGATGTTTATGCTCATTTGTGTGGCACTGGTGATTGCATTAACACTTTATATCATTGCAAATTTGACGGAGAATAGAATTCACAGCTGATTTAATTCCAACCTATTAGTTGAATTATCAATGACCAGGCCTTCCTTGTAAGTCGAAGGGTCCTGGTTTCAATCCACAATGGGGTTATGGGGTTGTGCACCTTGTGAAGACACACGCTTACTAGGGACGGGTCAGCTCTCTCCTCATGCCTTTCAATTCTTTTCTAAACAATGTGCATTCGTGAATACGACATCTAAATTGGAATTTTGCTTATTTCAGGTCAGCGTTTGATAGACCAACAATACCAAGTGGAGTTGTATCATATCCGCCTGTATGTCAGATAACTTATAAGTGAGTGATTCAGTTATTATTTTTCTTTTCTTTTCAAGATATTATGTATCTGTCATTGTGGGTTATATATATATATTCTTTTCGACGATTCATTTTCATGAGCTGTACAATCGTAATTATAATTAACAAAGAAATCTTTAGACCAATCAGATAATGGTAAATTTTGTCCTTGGAAAATTGTATTACATAATGTAAGGTGTAAGAAGGGATGACTAATTGTAAGTTAGAAAGGAGACAGAAGTTGGCATGACGTAATAAGTGTGAGATAGTGAATAATCAATAATCTCGTGTGAAATGGACAGGAACTAGTGGAAATTCATTATAATAAAGGTTTTTGTATTTCCCAATGAATGAAAAACAAAACGATATTGTTTTTACTGACGTTTCGCTATTTAATGCTAATAGCTTTATCAAAGTATTATTAAACCGGAATTTACAAAATCTCAGCATATATATAACAAACAGTTAGGGGGTGAGAAAATAGAAAAAATGGTTGTAGTATCGAGAGTAAGTATTTAGATAGGTTGTATGTCGGTGAGTTGGTGAAATCTATTACTGGTCTCAATGGAACTGTGGGTTTATGTATTTTTGGTTGACCGTAGAATCTTGAAGGTACATAAGACTTTGGTTTTAGTTTAAACCAGAGAGGATTTCCAATTTTGGGTTTCATTTCTTGAAGGACTCTGTTTGTATTTATTTTCATTTTGTTGAATTCGGCGGATTTCTTCTTCTCTTCAATGAGTAAGTATGGTCCTTCAGATAGGTGTTCGATCGCCTTCTTTTCGTAATCCGTTCTGTTCATAATCACGGTGACATTTCCCTTGTCGGCTTTCGTTATAACGATGCTTTTGTCCTTCTTCAAATTTCTTAAGGCTTCATATTCTTGTTTGTTGAGATTAGATGGTATGTAGTACTAAAACGAGATCTACACAATTCATTCCTGGAGAAAATAAACTGTGTATGTCCCAGAATCCAATTCACTTCGGAAGCAGAATCAGACATCGGTGAACTACCATTTCTAGACTGCCTAGTTAAGAGAAAGGAAAACGGACATTTTAGTATATCCATATTCAGGAAGAAAACCCACTCAAATAAATATTTAGACTTCAAGTCATCACACCCCATCAGCGCAAAGATTTCAGTTGTTTCAAGTCTTCTTAGACGAGCACACTCTCTGATAACCGACGAGAAAGAAAAAGAAGAAGAAATATCAAACATTACTGAAACTCTCAAGCAAAACAACTACCCATGGAACTTCATCAACAAAATCAACACAGACATCAAGTATGGCCGAAAACGCATCCCGAAAACATGGACATCAACAGTCGTCATTCCATATAGAGAAGAGACGTCAGACGATATCAGAAGAGTACTCAATCAGCTCGATATTAGAGTTTTCTTCAAAACATCAGACACACTTCAAAGCAACCTTGTCCATATAAAAGACCAAATCCCTAAAGATTCGCTATCTAATTGTGTCTATAAGATCGAATGCTTAGAATGTGATGCGATATACATCGGACAAACTTCTCGAGAAATCAAAATCAGAAGAAATGAACACCGTAGAGCATCTCTTCGACCACCGAAGAATCCTGTTGAACTACAAAGACTTGAAAAATCATCAGCCATAGGTCTACATGCTATAGAATCAGGCCACAAAATTGATTTTGACAATGTTGAAATAATCCAGAAAAACTTCAGAAATCACAAAGAACGTTTAATATCAGAAGCACTTCATATCAAGTGGAATCAAAATTGCCTGAATAGGAATGATGGACTAAAACAGAATCTGACCTGGTTACAACACCTCCCTCCCCCCCATCAAGTGACAAAACCAACACGAATGTGATAAGCACTTTCATTATGTAAACACACGCTGCTTTTATAATCTCATACACTTATCAAATCCAACAATCTACACATGATGATTTTGTTATCTTTACCAATTCACCAACTTAACAACTAAAAATGCCCCAGACAGACGAACGATGATCAAGTTAGTAAACTTTTCTTTCTTTTTTCGATATCATAACAGACATACTATTACCTTTGTTATTTGGTATAGTTATCTTCATCGCTATTTTTACTTTCAATATGTCCCTTTAACTTGACCTATGTCTATTTTCTCACCCCCTAACTGTTTGTTATATATATGCTGAGATTTTGTAAATTCCGGTTTAATAATACTTTGATAAAGCTATTAGCATTAAATAGCGAAACGTCAGTAAAAACAATATCGTTTTGTTTTTCATTCATTGGGAAATACAAAAACCTTTATTATAATGAATTTCCACTAGTTCCTGTCCATTTCACACGAGATTATTGATTATTCACTATCTCACACTTATTACGTCATGCCAACTTCTGTCTCCTTTCTAACTTATAATTAGTCATCCCTTCTTACACCTTACATTATGTAATACAATTTTCCAAGGACAAAATTTACCATTATCCGATTGGTCTAAAGATTTCTTTGTTAATTATAATTACGATTGTACAGCTCATGAAAATGAATCGTCGGAAAGAAAATTTTCTTCGCTGTTTGTGCCTTTTTTTAATGACTCAATATGGGAATATTTCGTTCATATATATATATATATATATATATTTATATATTTATATATATATATGTTGAGAAAAATAGATTTCAATCTCGTCTAGATTTTAATCGGTCCTTTGTTATCGATACTATGCTACGCTATGCTTGTCAGCCATCCATCCATTCACAGGAGGTTGATCTCCAGTCGACGGAGTTCTAGACCTAACTCGCCTCCTAGTGTATACTAGTCGCTGGTAAAGGTGGGAGGTTGGCCGTGACAGCAACAGCCTTTCCCCCCACCACCACCACTGTGGAAAATCCTGAGTCTGAAGCTTGAAGCTCTATGTGTTCGCCTCGTTAGACAAGAAATGAAAGAAATAATTTTCGTTGATGGACAACAAGAATTAAGAAGTGGCAGATGATATCCGGCATGTCGTTGCTAAACTACACAACACATGTGAATGGCAGCTCAGGTTGCAAAGTGGCTGCTCCCCATCGGGACTTTACTATTAGTGGTGGTAGTCTGGCGACTAAATCACTATCCAAGATTGTCCTTATAAGTGACAGAAAGTACTCATTGAGTTATGAAGTAAGAATAAAATAAAATTTCCATTATCGAAGAAGTCATCTCCAAAGGCTTTACTAAGATGTATAACTACCATTCGTTGTTGAGTAATGAGGACATGTGTTTGTGTATCTGTCTGTGTGTGTGTGTGTGTGTGTGTGTGTGTGTGCGATTGGAGTTGATTTTGATCGAGTCACTCAGATGTGGTTTCTAGAGATTGAGGCGGACTACCTAATTTCCTTCGCTTGAGATTATTTATGACCTAGGATTGGAACATGATAATCACCTCGAGCTTTTTTTTTCTTCAAATAACGTCTCGTGTTAGTCAGTCATCTATTGTTAACATCATCACTCCTTCCAGTGGATCAGCTGTATTTGTGGGGTAGATATATGGCCTATTCTCACTGAAGCACACTTGACTTTCAATCGCTTTGCTTCAAACCTGATCGACTGGTGGTTAACTGCTTCGTCCCAGTTTGCAATTCTTCAACAATACGCATCCAATGCGTAAAAGGCTCAAAAGACCCACTCCTCTGTGTGGCTAGAAGTGCTTTTTGTCGTCGAAGAGTCCTTCCTCAACGTTGGACAAAACAAACTATCCAGTAGTACTCTCTGGTTTTCAGTGTTACTTCGTAATATACCTTGAAAAGCTTTTTTCCCGTATTCATTATTTGTAATTATGTGAGTGTGAATGATTCATTCCCCTTGATAGCAGATATCAATAGCCCATATGCTATGATGTGGAGTGTTACTTACTGATTTGTGGGTTCGTCTAACTCGACTAGAATACACCTCCAGAACACCACAACACCATGTAACCAATTGATTGATTGTCTTGAAATTATCTCCCCCGTACTCAGGTAAACACAAAAGTCGAACTGAGTAAAACGGCGTCTATGAAAAGATAACAACTGCCTTTATTAGGTAAAAAGGCATGGCATAGTATATATACAAAACCTCAGGAATTTAAGCTATAAATATATGAATTCTATTGGTTGTTTGTCATCACAATCCCTCAGAAAATTAAGCCACAATTGAACGAATCAAAACTATGCAATCAGGTTATCACATGACACCTGCGTACATAAATCGGAACTTCATGACTAGTATAGACGTTTTTTCCGTTCTAACTACCACCTCCCTCTTTCTGTTAGTTCTCGATTGTGACACCCTCCCCCTTGATGTCACTTTGTGAGTATGTGTATGTGTGTGTGTGTGTACCTTCTGTCTATGCTACCATTCTGAAATAAATTAAATCTCATTAAATTGATATTATATATACACATATACGTGACTCTCAAGTCTTTCTGGTTTTTCCATTTTGATATTTGTCTTCCTACTACTTCACCATCTAGAGCTAAGTGGTAAGATGATCAGCTTAAATACTATTCTGTTTGCTGTTCTGATCAGTGTTGTTATTATCATTGCTGTGATTTGGTGAGATTTTAATAAAAAATAATTCATGGAATGTGGGTGGGTGCGTGTGTGTGTGTGTGTACATCTTAGTTAGAAAAGGAGTGTAAAACTATATATTCATGGGATTAATAGCAGGCGAATAACTAGGTGAAAGATAAAGTGTGTGTTTGTGTGTGTGTGTGTGTGTGTGTTTATATTCATTCCCTATTTCTACCTTGGCCTTATTTATTTATTTATTCATTTGGATCGCTAGTATTTCAGCTACTACTACGTGTAAACGTCTTGATCTCATCCCTCATTTGAAGAAGTTTGATGTTCTCCATACAATAATACACCAGTTGATTTTGCTCCTCTTGTGGAGTTGAGTGTGAGTACATTGGCTGTACCAGGTGTCCGTTTGTGAAAAAAACAAGTTAGGGAAACACTATCTATCATCCCGCCTGGCTAGCCAGCCAAATGGAAGAATATGTAGGTGCGTGTTGACACTTATTGGCGTTTATCTACTTTATTTATCGGCGAAGTTAAAATAGCATAGCTCCAAAGTGAAGGTCTTTTTTAAAAGTTGACCACCTTCAACAGTCAATCAGATGCCAGTGATTGTTAAGAAAGGTTATTCCAAATTGAAGCATGCCTGGCTTTTTGAACTAGGTAGTTTCTCTGCAAATGTATACTGTTAGTTAGTGTTATGGCTTTTAAGAGCAAAGTTTAGGCTGTAGAGTTAAGGTTAGAATCAGGGTCAAAGTTCAGATCAGGAGTTAGGATTATGGTCAGAGTCAGGAGTAGTAGGTTAAAGAACAGTGTCACAAATATCAATGGATCTCAAGGTATCATGGCCTTACATTCAACCTGGGTGAATGCATCTATCGGGTATGGTATGATTTCGCTACAGATCGTCTGTGTAGAAACTGAAAGACATTCTTACAATACATAAACGACAACTATATGGTGTAATGTCACGTTTGCGGTGCTTTTTTTACTACTTTTTTGTATCTGAATTCTGATCGATTGGCTGATCAAAGTCACTGGGATATTTATTGGCTATGATATTTTAACTTTGCTTATTTATCGTTTTGTTTCTTTGATTTGTTTACACACTCCACCCCTTATTATTTTTCGATAGCTATATTTTATTACTCAGAACATTTTGAACCATTTCTCTGATATAAAACTATAAACTACTGATTGGTGATTGAGACGAGTGTTAGTGATAGTAGTGTAACAACAGAAGACAAGGGCCAGGCAACAGATCGTTTATTTAGGAAATCAACAGATATTTATAGATTTTCATGTACATTATTATAGATTATTGTAAGTAAACAAACACAGTTCCTGATTGCAGTAGATTGGATAATGCGACAGACAGTGGGCAATGAGGAAACAGGCATAAAATGGACTCACACAAAGAACTTGGAGGATCTGGACTTCGCCGATGATATATGTCTGATTTCCCACAAACTGGAAGATATGCAAGTGAAAAGTAACAAGTTGGCAGAAGAAGCATCAAAGATAGGACTCCAGGTGAACATAGAGAAAACGGAGGTGATGAAGATTCCTGGCCAACACCCACAGCCACAGCAACAACAACAGACAGCAATCAGCATAAATGGAAGGAACCTGAAAGAAACTACCTCCTTTACCTACTTGGGAAGCATTGTTTTAACTACAGGCGGAACTGACGAGGATATCAAAGCAAGGATCGGGAAAGCAAGGCAAGCTTTCATTACTCTCAAGTCTGTGTGGAGGTCAACAGCATTCAGCGTCAAAAATAAGATCCGGATTTTCAACTCCAATGTGAAGTCAGTACTACTATACGGATCAGAGACTTGGCGTGTCACAAAAAGCATCTCAAACAAGCTACAGACCTTCATTAACAGATGTCTTCGCTCAATACTCAAGATCAGATGGCCGGAAAGGATCAGCAACAAAGATCTCTGGGAGCGAACTAACCAGGAACCGATTGTGAAACAAATAGGCAGGAAGAAATGGAGATGGATTGGCCCCACTCTGAGGAAACCAGCAAGTGACATCACTAGACAAGCCATTGTTCGAGTAGAACCCGAAAGGGAAGCGACGAGTTGGTCGTCCAAGGGTGACCTGGAGGAGATCATGTGAAAAAGAATTGAAAGCGTATGGGCAGACTTGGAGCCAAGTGAAAACTCTAGCAGAGAATCGAACGCAATGGAGACGCATTGCTGAAGCCCTATGTTCCTCTAGGAACTAAAGGAAATAATAATAATAAACAAACACAGTCTTCTGATTGGTGGTTTCTCGCTGAACGTTAATCCTTCATCTCTTTGTGGCCGTTTATTGAAGTTCAGATTATCTATCTGCAAATTGTAGGCATCGGTGGCATAGTGGTTAGGACGCTCGCCGACCATGCACATGGTCCGGGGTCCGATCCCCGGCCGACGCACTCCTTTACCTCGCTAAGCCAGAAACAATGCTGGTAAAGAGTAAAGGTTGGGTATGAGGCTAGCAACCCCATTCTGTAAAATGAACACTGCTACAGAAACTTCAGGCCGCTAGCTTGAAGCCCTATGTTCCACTGGGGAACGTGAAGGAAAACAACATCTGCAAATTTTATGCGCCTACGCCAAGTCTGCTGTGATTGGTTGTTGAATCAGTCTTTGTTCTTATTTTTTTCATGACCAGTATTGGGGACGTACACATTGACGTAAATTACTGTCTACCAATTTGGCTAGCAGCCAACTCTCACCACTACTCATATCAACCAAGCAGTACTCACTAGCCAGCCCAGGCGAATCGTTGTGATCTAAATACTTGACTGCTGTTTCGCTCATTTTTGACCGCACTCGTCAGCGGTGTACCTACCCTACCCCGTTTGACTCAATGGTATGCAGGTACTCATCTCAATCAATCTCTAGTTTGCTCGCTTTCCCCTATGATTACCATTCATGCATAGTATCAGACAGACCCCACACATATTATGATCGGAATAACCCTGGTTTCCGCTTGAATTGTATGTAAATTGCTAATTTCGAATTTTCAAAAGAATGGATACTGAACAAAGAGCTGAATATCAGAAAAACTAGGAATTTATAGTTTCCACTGAAGGCCGCCTCGCTGAGCTGAGCTGAATCGTGCGCTGCCCGAAAACCAGCGTAACGCGACCGTCTGTCTGTTGTTTCGATTTGACCGGTTGGCTGACTGACTAGCAAGCACTACTTGTTGATTTGGGGTCCAACTACTCATATCAGTCTATCAGTAGTATATAACATCGTGTATATTTTGTTTTACTGTAAACTAAGCTTTGTAGTCATTGGCAAGTGGAAAGTTTCAAAAGTGAGGGGAGGGGTTGCTGCACGATGAACAGTCTTTAATTAGCCACGAAGTCTGGTTTCGGTATACACTCGACCTCTTGCTTTTCCATTTTATTTGTTTAGCTATCAATATATATATTCTGTACTTGCTCTAACTTTGCGTCTGTGTGTATGTGTGTGTTTCCTTTCCATTCTATTCAACACTAGATGTTACGTGTGTCAAAGACGATTTACTGCTCGTTCTTCGTGTCTGCGTCATATGACCAATTTGCATGGAGCTGTAACATCAGAGCTGAAGTGGAATCTTTTGACTGAAACAAATTATGGTAAGCAAGTGAAAATTCTTATTCTTCTTGTGTTTCTTTCATTAATGTGTATTTTGTAAGCTGAAAGACTGTTGACAACTGTGTGACGAGTCCTTTTTGAGATAGATGCTTGAACTGAACTTTCTTCCTTCCTTCCTTCCCCTCCCCGCGCCCCTGCCTGTTCAGGGTTAACAACACGTTATGTGTGATAACATGCACTTCTATCTACTGTGCGATAGACGATGTAGTTGATGATGATAGTGGCGTAGCTAGCCTCTTTGACTGACCGACTTAGTCCTTAGCTTATGTATCACTTTTGAAAGATGCTTTTATTGATATAGACTCTACTGATGACAACGTTTCAACGTACAGATTTGCACTGAAGTGTTGTAGGAGTCAAAATAGTCAAACTCCATTCAGTCCACAAAGCTACAGAAAAGAGAATGCAAAAAAAAAGCATTTAGAAGCACCATAATAAGTGGAAAATTTAGGGGAGAAAGAATAGTAACATGGAACAACATAAGGGTTTGGTTTTTATATAGATATGAGAGACCAGATAGAGTGGATTGATGAATTCATCTGTGCCACTGAGAACAATTTTAAGTCCCGTCAGCAATAGTCTCCAGTCAATGATGATCATGTTTCACTACAATAAAGGAGGATGGAGGGAACTGTGGTGGTGCCAACCGGATATCCCATTTACGCGATAGATGACTCTTAATTCAGTTAATACCCCCCCCCCCACACACACGCTCAAGGCTTTTGTATCTGTGTTGAGGTCAAACCATTGGAGGTGATATAACTTCTCAAATAAAAGTGAAGCATGAATGCGACGAATAAAAGGTGCTCAAGAACTGAGTCATTGGTGGTGTCTGTCTAATTTCTCCTTTCGACAGTTAAATTTAAAGATGTTGTTATACATGTCTAGACCATATCACACTGACTAAGTTTTTAATGTACACCTGGCTATATGAGCTTGATGAGAGAAAAGGCTGATAATACTATTATAACTACTACTAATACTACCCATTGGTGTCCAATCTGTAAAGTAGGTCGGCGGGGATTTGAATCTTGTGATCCTCCCGCCTGACTGACTGACTGACTGAAAGCAACACTGAGAACGGACGTGGTCAATGAGCCACCCCTCTACTTTATTTGCTGCAATACTATTGCAATATAGAATTGACTAGTTTACCTGGACTGAATATCTTGTCTAGAAAGACAGTGAAAGCTTTGCAATTAAATCAATCCAATTTGAGAGAACTCGACTCAACACTACACCAAATTATACCATCCCAGGTTTTCCAATGGTTCTCTAACTAATGTCAGCTCATGATGAAATCCTGTAACCAATCAACCAAATCCCTACAAACCAATACTTGAATATCAATAAGATGCTCACTGGGGTTCTAATTTCGAAGTCGTGACCAGTAGGGTGCAGCACGTCGGGTGTGTGAGGACAAATACTCGCCGAAGACATTGGGGCTAGTGATCGCGCTATGCCGTGAATTGGTAGAAGTTAGAATTCATGGGCTGGCTGGCCATTGGATCGGGCTGATCCCAGTGGCTTAATGGTCTACGAGCTAGCTCGCTAGCCTTGTGACCAGAAGGTCCTGGGTTCGAACCCCGTGGTGTGGGTGCTTACTGATGAAGAGTCCCAAACTAGGCTGATGAAACAGCTGTCCAGTACTCCCAGGTGGTTTTCCAATGGTTCTCTAACTAATGTCAGCTCATGATGAAATCCTGTAACCAATCAAACAAATCCCTACAAATCAATACTTGAACATCCTACTTCTATGGATTCATCAGTTGGTTTTGTGCTTAACTCAACTGTTGAGTGTGTGTTGCGGGGGTGGCGCATGAAACCAAACACTAATCGTTTGAAAAGGAAAAAAACAACAACAACAAAACTAGGCTACTGAGTCATTAGTCATCAGAAGTTGTTGTAAGAGCCGATCTGTCGATAAAAATGTACATCACCTTTGCGTGTAATTCATTTTTGAAGGTAAAAATGAGGGCGGTGTGTGTGTGTTGGGGGGGGGGGGTAATTGTAGTGAAATAAATACCCAGTAATCTGTTTGCTTAGTTAACAGTAATAGCGTGAAATGAAAGTGTTCAAAAATTGTTTTGAATTTATTGTGTGCTGAACTAACTTGCATCATGATTTGGCACTTAATGTTGTGTTTCCTAAGAAATGAACTCACAACACATATTCGTAAAAGTTATGATTAAATTATTTTTTTAGTGATATTGTTGGCGGGCAATTCAAAATCTCTGCACTATACGTAAATGGCTTCACTGTCTGGTTGTAGGATTTCGATTCAATCATTAACTCCTCACAGATAGTCATTTGACTTTTAAGACTGTATGTAGACTTCATGGCATTAATGCCAGTTTCAGCTCTATGCGAATTTGTGAGCTTAATTCAATCCAACGACGACGCCGCATAATCCACCATATATCAAATAAATAAGTGAATCACACAGAAGAGACTTTAAGCTCAGTGTGTTGCCAAATCAGATTTCCGCAACAGTAGGATGGTGACGTGGGTTTGAAGCTGGATATTCGTCTGCGTGTAGAAGGAGGAAGAGGAGGAGTGGGGCATCGACTCCTTCAAGATCTCGACAAAACAAAAAGAAGGCGTGATTTATCTGAAACTTGTAATGTATTTGGGCAACACATCTCAGAGATTCTAATCACATGCACACATACGAGTACTTGTCATACAAATATATTGTATGCAACAGAGCATAAATGGTTATAATATGTGTCAAATTGTGTACGAGTCAAGGTCACACGTGAGAGGTAGGAAGATGATGACGTAAGCAAAGGTAGAGGGTGAAAATAGTGTTAAGTAAATTGAACCTTGGTTCTAAATTGGATTACCAAGGCAGGTTCAGAGTGATAAGGAGTAATTTTCGGACACATAAAACAGGTTTAAGCCTTTTTATGACGAAGTATTCATCGAATTTCAGTATGTGACCCAAATTTGTTTTAAATAAGGCTTTTGAAGGCATTATTGAAGTGAACCTAGGGACCCGTCTCTATGATGATGATGATGATGATGTGCTTTGCGATAGATGATGTTGGACATCTATTTCCAGGATCAATTGTATCCGGTGATTTTATTTGTTGTCGCAACCACTTTGGAAAATGTTCTGTAGCGCTAACCTGCAGAGACCGATGCGTCCTCCCTATACACACATGTGACCACACATACATGTAAATTGGTAAACACAATGGAATGTGACACTACCGGTTGGATGATGTGTGATGTTTTACAGGACAGCATAAATCTCGGTTTGTCCAAGAAAATAAGTTAAGAGCTGCTGCATAGCAAGTTCTATTAATAACCTCTCTTTTTAAGGAGCTGACTGGATAGCTGAGGCCGTCAGTTTGACACTTCTGTAGCGTTCAATGAATTTCAGGGAAATAGCTGTTATCCAACAGGATTTTATTTCAGTGTGAAGTGTTGTGTTTCTTCTTCAATGGTGTGTTCTCTGTGTGTACACATATGCTGAATGTGCCTGAACATGCATTCAACTACTTACTGCCTTCTAATTCAGTCAGTGAACAGAAACCATGCTCATTTAGGTGTACTGTGTCTCGCTTCCATGTAGACTTTCTGTAGACCATATCGTCTTATTGATCCATCTTATCGACTAGCTGATGAGTAGTACATCTCAGAATGGTAAAAGGAATCTGCATTCTTTTTCACCAATGGGCAGTACCACCATTCAAGATCTTCAGTCATATACATCTTTCTGACGCCGACGACGACAACAACAATGAGTGCTAATAAAGACGACACCTACGTGTTTGTTTATGGGAGAAGGCTTCCATCCGATTGACATTAATTCCCCCCCTCCCCAGTAGTATTTTATTCTACGGTGTTATACCTATTTCACAATTGAAGTTGTCATGATAATCTCAGGATGGAAGAATTCCATACTCATTCAAGCGAGCTGTGTATGTGTGTGTCTCTCTCTCTCTATGTTTGTGTGTGTGTTTCTGACACTTTCCTCTGTATGCTTCACATCCCTTTTTTGCCTAATAGTTTATGCGACACACACACACTGATCTGTTATTACTACTCCAAGTGTGTAAATCACATAAGTCACTTTGACTGAATTAATTAATTATTAAGCCACAAGAAAATAAGTAAATGAATAAAAACCAAATTAATTATTTGAAAATGAATCTGATGCTCGCTAGTTGCCTGGAATTCAAGCGAGAAGTCGTGTTACCAATGGGGCCTACCACCACCCGGTTGTCGGAGGTGAGGACAAATACTCCTCACCAGCATTGACACATTAGCTGGTGCCTAGTCAGTCAGTCAGTTCCACTAAAATCACGAATTGGTAGAAATTAGTATTCATGGGTGGTGGTTGGCCACTGAGTATTGAGTCTACAAGCTCGCCTTGGAACCGGAAGATGTCCTGGGCTCTAACCCTGGCAGTGGGGGTGGGGTGCATACTGACGAAACAGCTGTCCAGTACCAGTACTCCTCGGCATTCGATTCTGTCGACCGAGAGGTACTCTGGCGATGCTTGGCTGTAATGGGAATGCCGAGGAAATACATTGCGCTACTTACTCTACTCGAACTCATGCAGCCAGGAGAGGGCTTACGGCGAGTTATCATCTGAAGTGGTGACGACTAGTGGTGTCCGTCAGGGATGCCCGTTATCCCCATTTCTATTCAATTTTGTCATAGATATACTAATGGATTTAACCCTGACTCACTTCAGAGACTCAGGGATTGACTTGTTACCAGGGAATATTCTCGTTGACTTAAAATATACAGATGATATAGTCCTTCTAGGCGAGGACACTGACAAAATATAGAGTCTTCTGAACACCTTGATCTGAGCAGCAACCTACGAATGTTTGGCATGCGATTCACTCCGGCCAAATGTAGTATGATGTTACAGGACTGGACTACACTGACTCCTAGTTTAGAAATAGGGAGTGAAGTGGTTGGTGGAGCGTGTTGACCGCTTCACTTATTTGGGAAATACCATCAGTCTCTGACGAAATCTCAGTACGGATACAGAGGGCTAGTTTCGCATATGCCAGTTTACGCCGTCTCTGGCGTAGACGTGATATCCTGGTGGCTGTCGACCAAAGGGCGTGTGTACTGCTCATCAGTCCGCTCCGTCCTCCTTTATGGCTGTGAGTGAGACCTGGCCATTGAGAGTGGAAGACATGAAAAGATCAGCTGTGTTCGATCATAGGTGTCTGCGTTCTATCTCCCGTGTGAAGTGGTATAATAAGGTGAGCAATACTGAGGTTAGGCGTCCAGTTCTAGGTAGGTGGGAGGGGAAATCAATCTACGAGGCTGTGAAGTTACACCGATTGAGATGGTTAGGACATGTGTTACGTATGTCTAGTCATCACCTTCCTCGGCGGGCAATGTTAGCTGACATAGGGTCAGACTGGGAAAGAGCTAGCGGCGGTCAAACCAAAACCTGGCTTCATCAGTCAATGAAATCCACAACAGTTAGTTTAAGCGACGTAGGAAGGTATAGACTGCCAGTCTGGTTGGGGTCCTCGAGACGGTAAAAACCAGCGGTTGGAAACAATTGGTGGTATGGCTTAAAATCGTTCTCCATGAGTAGTGCAGATGCATCCACTCCTTGTGACTTATAATTTCCAATGAAACTATGTCGTTCTTCGTTATTACTATTGCTTTGTCTCACACCTCTGTTTACTGTCTATATTATGCATTTCTTCACTTGCTTTGTGTGCTATACGGAGAGAGTGTGGCGACTCGAACTGCCGCACATCGGTGCAAAGTAGTTCTACGTCGAAAACAAACAGACAGACACCAGTACACTCCTGATTGGTTTCCAATGGTTCTGCTAGCGATATCAGTCGGTGGTCGTCGATCTTGAGAGCATGAATGTGATGGAGGAGTATCACTATTGATGTTGATTCTAAATTTTATGTTGTTGCACTCGGAATGCTTCTATAATTTAATTAATCAATTAATTAATTTTTGTTTGTTTGTTTGTTTGTTAATTTTTCAACACAGTCGCATCTACTCCAGCTGGACCTAAAAACAATAACCCTAATTTGTTGTCGTTGTTGAATAATAATAATAATAATAATACCCCAGCTACTGGATCCGGCTCAACAGCACCACCAGCGACGACGTCATCGTCATCATCGTTGTCTAAATCAGGTGAATCTGTTCGTGAAGAGAATGACGGCAGCAGCAGTGGCGGTGGTGTTGTCAGAAAGATATTCTTTTGTGCACTTTGTAATAAGTGTTATAGGTTACGATATAGTTTAATAAGACATAAATCTTTACATCATGGACAGGCGAATAGTCAGGCAGGCTGGCAAGCAGACTATTATTATTATTAATACTCGTTGGTTAGATTTTGAATTATAAAATTTGAATAACACATTATTGTTGTTGTTTTTGATAATCTTGGTTGGCTTCAACTTCGTCTCTTCTATAAAAGAGAGAGACAAAGTGGTAGGAAAAAGTGAATAGGGAAAAACCGATGTTGGTTGAAAAGTCCCTGATCCATTCATGGATGCACGTTCTTTCATTTATTCAGATTATGGATGATTTTTCTTCACAACCTAAAAACATTTAGAAAGAATCGCCAGTAGGCCTACAGAAGAACAGAGCATAGATGACTAGCTTTTGGGACTGTTGTTTTTAATAATATGGTGACCTAATCAAAGATTAGCTCTACGACCGGTCCGGTTGTTGATCATTCTGCAATCAGTAGATGTGAATTTGATTGACTCATGAATTCTTAACTTTCGTAAGTATTCGCAATGTGTAGTGCTCGGTGGTTGACTTAATGGTAGAATGCGCTCGCCAACCACAATCATCATCACCACCGAACATGTGGTCTGGGAAGTCGCCTTTATCTCGTGAAGCCAGTATTAATTCCAGTGAAGAGAGGGAATTTTGATTGTGAAGAGGTGGCTAGCAACCCCGTCCAGTGAAGATAACACCATTGCCACTGAAACTTCGAAGCTGAAGCTCGGAACGCAAAGGAAGACAAATAATAATAATTTGCTTTATTCCAAAACAGTACATGTGATACAGAATGGAATTCTCAGCATTTTTACTACAGTATTGCATCCAGTTAGTACATTATCAATAAATAAAATTCTACATAGACTAAGGAAATCTCAGTTCATTATGACAACAACATATTGACATGTCGGTAGCAAAGCCAAAGTTGAACAGTGTTTGAAGGTGTTAGAAAAGTAGGTGCTGTCATATTTACTGGCGTAAGCGGAAGAAAGAAACAAAGCAGCACATGACGGAAAATCAAAGAGAGAGAGAGAGAAAAGGAAAAGAAAGAAAGAAAATCTTGTACCCATAAATGATATGAGTTGGGAAGACGAGGTCCAGTTGTTCTACTGACTATTTAATGAATTATAAGTGTCACGCCTAATGCTTTCTTTATCTCACAGAACACAAGCTAGGTAGGGTATGGCTGAGTTTTTGTACTTGCTGGTGCGAGCATATAGTTTTCTATATAGGCTTCTGGTTTTGCCTGATGAGATGCAAGGGGAGAGTTGTGAGTGAAGAGGGTGTTGGGAGTTCGATAAAATGGATTTGGCCCATTTTTCACATGAGCCCATGTGCCTGTCGACCAGAATATTAACAAGCTAGTTAAGTGGCACGTTGCTTACCCTGCTGACAACCTTTAACATCCTGCTTAATATGTTATAGTCATTCTTCAGTAGCCCGGGAAAAACTAAGGGGGAACAAGAGAGAATAATAGGTAGAATGCGAAAGTTAACGACTTGTAGGAGAAAGGGATGGGTTATACCAGAATTCCTTAACTTCTTGATGTAGAAGGTAAGACGGAATATTTTGTTAGAAATCACCAAGATATGAGACGACCAGGAGAGATCAGCAGATAGAATGACGCCTAGGTATTTAATTTCCTATTTGGTTTCTATTTCAGTTCCGTCTATGTTGCATACCTCGTGAGAGCCAATCAGTTTCGTTAGGTCGGATTTATGCCTAAAGGTGAAATTGACTGTTTGGCATTTGCAGGGGTAAGACCATTTTCCTTGGACCACTGGCTGATTTCTGACAGAAAGCTATTAAGTTTAGAGCAGTCGCTTTGACATTTGACAGGCAAAGATACAGTCAGCATATTTGACAAAATTAATGTCATTTGAAGATGGTAAGTCATGTAGAAGGAAAGAAAAGTGTGGAGAGTACAGCACCTTGGGGGACACCAGCTTCAGTGAGTACAGCAGAGGATGATTTACCTTTGTATACGGTGTACTGCATTCTGTTAGAGAAGTAGGAATGCAGCCAGTTAGTGACCCAGGACTCAGTTTTTGTCAAAGAGAGCTTATTTAGCAGGAGACATCTAGGAACAGAGTCGAAAGCAAAAGTGAAGTCAAGAAACGTGCACCTTTATCTAATGATGAGACGATGTTGTTGTGTAAGACAGCTGCAGCGTCTAAAGTGCTCCTACCCTGTCTATAGGAAAATTGTTTGGGGTCTTCAAAGTTTTTAAGGGAGGGTTCGAGTTTATGAAGTATTAGTTTTTCCATAAGCTTTTGGAAACGGGGAGGTGATGGCAATGGGGTCTGAACTTTACGTTCTCGCCGTTTCCAGTTTTAGGGACAGGGACAATTTTGATGTCTTTCCATGCGTCAGGTACGATATTTTTGGAGAAAGAAGCATTTAGGATGTTGGTTAGTGGAGAACACAACACATCTGCACATTGTTTTAGAACATATGCAGGTATACCGCCAGGGCCAAGGCTACGTGAGGGCTTGAGCATTTTAAGACATTTTAGAACATCGAGAGTATTAAAGTCATGAAAGTTTTCAGCTACATGATAGGAAATATTAGAAGTAGTGAAAGTAGAATACAAATAACAAGTGTGGCGCCTTCGTCAGTCAACCAGTGTGTCATCGACGGGGATTTCTTTTTTTAATCTATAATGTGGTCATGGACCCTACCCACCGAAGGTCTTCTTATTATGTTTAGGAATGTAGTGAGCAAATTGCGAAGTTTCTTTTTGTCGCAGATTACTAGTTAACTGTGAAGTCTGTATCCTTTTGAAACAATAATGTGTGTTCCGTAGTCGATGGTAGCATGTCTACTTTTGTACTAGGGGGTTTGTGTTTCACTCCATTCTCTGTAGAGAGTGATTTTTCTACTGAAACTGTTGAAACAGTATTCCTGAGGTTTGAATGTGATAATGACGTATATAAGCGATTCAACGTCACGATGGACTTCAAATTATTTTGAGGTAGTTGATGGCAGTCAGTACGGAACAATGGTGGGGGGGGGGTGAGGCGTTGAAGTTTGTGCTTTATACTTACTTGTCAGTGGAGTGTATCTGAAACCTCCTGGAAACAGATGTCCCTTTGAGGGTTCGAACCTGCATCACCCAGTGTTTGCAGTCAGAGACGGTGCCCACCGCTGAGGAATTCGGGCTGATGATTGATCTGCTGTTGGACTGAAAGGGATGCATTTATTTAGTCAGAAGGGTTTGAAACAGACTGATTTATAGAAACAGATTTTGTACATGTTGATTTCACATGTTTAAGCGTCCTAGTGTGTGGTGAGTGCTACTTATAATCAGATAAAATAAGTAACATACCAGTAAATGAATTCAGAAAAGTAACAATATGTTTCGGACACTGGAAAACACAATCGAAGAACAGAACTACGAGGAGAACCTTAGAAAGACTGTGCATAATCATCCAACCAGCTATCGAATGTGGTGATATTCGACCAATTTGCAAATGATGTACAGTTAAAGCATTGAAGATATGGTGAAGCATATTAAATTTATATCCCTATAAAGCGTTTGTCCTAATAAACATTCCTTCGAGCCTCGTCGTTCTTTTCTTTTTTAAACTAGTAGTTCTGTAGGCATAAGAATCAGGTTTGACATGTGTCACTGTACGGGAGTAGCGGTTTCCATGAAAATAGCTGTCATATATATATATATACATATATATCGGTATGTTCCGTAAATATCTTCAGTGCGTGAATAAACCAGTATTATATGTATGTCATTCAAATGTTTCAGACGACGCTATTTTCTGATGGTACCTTCTACGTTGTTAGAATATTCATAATATTCCAGGGTTGGGATCAGTTAAACGAGTACGTGATAAAAATGTGCAGTCACTTGGGTTATTTCCATTTCTGGCAGAGTAGTGATAACAAATTTAGATTACATCACTGTAACATTAATAGGTCGAAAAGGAGATTGGTCTAGGTGTGCATTTACTGTTCCTATGGAAGATGATGTTCTTACGTTGTTATCTCGATAGGTCCTGTTCTTTAGTTATTGTAACTAGTATATTATTTTTAGATTTTATATGTCTTCAAGTCATATTTCCCTCTTTGACTTTGAGTAAGTAAAGCTGCGATTACGCATGGCATATTCCCTTTTTTGAAGTGGTGCCACCTGCTTCCTCCGGTGGGTATTTAGGGTATTTCCATACATAGGCCAAGATATACCAGCACGATCTCGTGGCAATTCAATAGTAGTAAGCATTTGACTTTTGAATTCGCTGTCTCCTTTAATCCATTAGTTACATTGCTCAGCTCAGATATCAGTGCCGCAAGTGCGTAACACAGTTCGAGAATATAACGCCACCGATGATATGTACGCCAGAAAAGGAGTTTTAATGCAAAATTTCGTTTAAAAAGCTTGCAAAATAAATATAACTTGTCAGTAAGCCACCATAGAAACGGGTCAGGACGCTACAATTCTCTGAGATATTCAATAAAGCTACTTGTGTACATACATGCACCAATAATTAAATCTGTCACAGCGATGAATATTGTGATAATCAGTTTTATTTCTTTTCTGTGTACGAATGACTGAATGGTTGGTTAACAGATGCTTCGCTTGATCAAGTGATAAAATGCTTGAAATTGACAAGGTGTGATATAATGCAGTAATAAGATGAGACGATGTAATATAAAGAGTCTGAGGTGAATTCAAATGGTGGTAATTCCGCCCAGTATCTTCAGTGTTAGGAAGAACAAAGTATTGGGGTGATGAGAGAGTGTTGACGTTTGCGCGAATTACCATGTGTATCAATGCAAGCAAGTTCCTACACCCACAACTACCACAGTATTTATTCCACGTAGACCAAAGGCGAATCAAAACAACAGATTGATTATCCAAAATATGAAATATATTCAGAGGTCAAATTCGCAGTGTCATGTTGAATGCTAAGACCAGCTGGAAACCATGCATGAACATGACGTGGCGACGCAGATGCTTGATTACAAGCCTTCAGATAAACGAGTTGACCTAAGTGGTGAAGGTTAGCATCCAATGATGAGTGATGAATACTGTAGGGTATGTATGCAAAACAGATGAATCACGTTTTGC